CCGGGCCGTCCGGGCCGCCCGGAGGCCACACTCACCTGGCTGGCGCTGTCGCTGGCGGCCTGCGGCTCCCGGGCGCAGAGGAGGACGCGGGGATGCGAGCAAAGCGCGGGCGGAGGCTGAAGGCGAGGCGGGAGGAAGGCGGGATGGGGGCGGAGCGGGCCTGGGCGGCGGCGGCGGCAACGGCGGCGGCTCTAGTCACTCGCGGCAAATCGCGTCGGAGCCACTCAGTGCGTCAAGCGGGGGACGGCCCCGCGACCTCCCGGCACCGCAGCCTGACCCGTGTCCGCGCGACCCAGCGCGTGCCCGGGTGGCGGAGGCGAGCGGCCCCACCCGGCGCAGGAAGGAGGAGGGAAGAGGAGTTCCACAAGGGCAGGGGGCTGGGGTCTGGAGGGGAGGGGGCCTGCGACCCACCCGCTGACTCTGCGGTCCCGGCCACTCCCGGAGCTGCGAGCTCCCCAGCCTGAGAGACTGTAGGGTAGTGGAAGAGTAGTGGACCTAGAGTTAGGAGGTCTGTGTTTAGTGACCTTGCTACCTGACACCTTAGTAAAACATTTGGATTCTAGGTATTCATCCTGGAATATGTAGATTAGAATATATGATCTTCAAGAGTCTCAAAATTCTAACATCCTCATCCTCATCTTCGATTTATTAGGATTTATCTGGCCCCAAGTACCCACTGCCAAGAGATGCCAGTGTATGGTGTGGCTGAATGGTGAATCAGGCAGCAAGAGGCAGCTGGAGGGGAAAAAAGGTTAAAGTGAAGAAGGACTGGATTTAGGACATGTGTTGTTCTTTGAGGATCTTTCCATTTTACAGTGCAAATTTAATCCACAAATGGCCCTCTGATAATGGCTACTTCCTTTTCGCCAACTCTATAGTTATTTTTCTCCAGATGCACTAATTTCAAAGCCCTCATTCTTCTCATAGTATTGCACAAGTAATTTTTATGTCATTTCCTGAATTCAGTTCAAAAGAGTCCTCAGCTCATACCCACGAATTTACTACCATGTGGTCCCAAAACCGGGCCTTCCATATTACTCACTCTGTAGCTCACTTCACTCACTCACTCACTCACTGCCATAGTCATCATCATCATCATCATCATCATCAAGTTGGATCCACTCATAGCTACCCCTCCCTGGGTTTCCCAGGAGGTATCACTGCAGAATTACATTGCCCAATCTTTCTGAGGAGTGGCTGGTGGGTTTAAACTGCCAGCCTTCTGGTTGTTGTTATGTTGTTATGTGCCGTCGAGTCAGACCTGACTCATAGCGACCCCTCCTTGGGTTTCCGAGGCAGTATCACTAC